TTAATTCGAAGGCCTGTCGTTATTTTTTATTTGTGCTATCATTATTAATTTCTTTATTTGTTCTTATTTTATTACCGACTGCTTACTTGTCATTTTTTATTCAATTCAAAGTTTGAAATCAAGCTATCTCGTGCTACTGCACCAAAATTACCCCACTGTAAAATAAAAAAGACACTGAGTGAGCAAAAATATGTGAGATAGCTAGTTATAATGGTAATTAAATAATGTTTACATATGTATAAAAGCCTACATTAAAATCTGTCATATAAATTGGTCTCTTCAATAGAAATTAGCCTTCTGATTGCCACCATTGATGGACAACATTTTTTAATAATAAAAATATCTGTATGACATTATATTCTGCAGTTCTTCCCTGTTGTACCGAATATCTATACTTTTCAAATTATCATATCGAAGTTAGAAATTCAAATATTGTGACAAAATTAATTTTGTAGGGTGCCACAAGTTTGTTAAAATTTCCAAAGGGTGCCGCAACTAAAAAAAGGTTGGGAAACACTGTTTTAGATTAATCAGTCATTCAATGACTCACTCATAAAGACGTTTACGTGATTTGTTCCTGAATTAATCAGCACTTTTGAATGAATCTTTTGAGTGAATGATTCATTAATAATGTAACCTGCAGAAAGCTTCCCATCACTGAAAAATTCCCACCACTAATTCACAGACTGACAGTCTTTTGTTATTATTATTATTATAGTTTACATTTTTAATTCAGTAATTTTGTATTGCAATGTCTGATTTCTAGGTTTAACAAATTTGAAATCTTTCCAAAGTACCCCCCAGGCTGAGAATCACTGAACAATTATAAGAGGAAGGAAGCATCAACTCCCATTTAAAAGTCCAATTATATTCATCTGATAAAGACTCAACAAAGTCATGATCCACAGGTCAACATTCATAAATGAAGTCTATGTAGTCCACCTGAGCAGGTTTTAATGCTTTGAGGCAAGAGGAAATAAACAAACAGCTTGCCAGTACAAATCTGGCACACCTCCTGCAGCCCTTTGTCTGCGGCAACCACCTCCAAAGAAGAAGAGTGTGCGTGAGAAGTCGCTTTATTTTAAAAGGAGAGGGAATGAAAAGAAAAGCAAGCACTTCTAGATCTCTTTGTTTAGGCCATAACGAATACCCCTGAATAACTGTCGCTCTCTCTCTTTCTCACTCTCCCTCTGTCTCACCTAGCATGAAGAACGAATCTTGCACTAAATACCATCATATTATAGTCATAATGAATGCAGCCACCAAATGAAAGGCCATTGTTCCCGCCAGACATGTGACTTTTATTACTGCGAGTGATCAAAATCAGTTATTCAGTGTTGGGCGGGTTGAGGGGGAGCGAGCACAGAGGGAAGTTGTCAGTCAGGAGCTGAAAGAGGTCACAATGCAAGCGAGGTGGTACATGATAATGAGAAGCTCTTACCGATGCTTGACTGATTAACGGACCATGTAAAAAACTCTGATCCGAAGCACAGAAACAATACAAGCACTGCCAACTCTCTTTAGCTCCTCTTTTCACATTTCAGTGGTTCCCAGACATTTTTAGTGAGTACAGTAGTGTTTAACCCATTGTCTAAAGACGTCTAAGGAAAGTAATTTTGGAGCGTGTATCCAGAGAACTTTACCAAGGGTGAAGTTTACCCTGGCAGTCCGCTACTATCATCCGCTCGCCACATGAGAGTTCGCCGCAGCCCATGCAGCAGTCTAAAGCCAAGCCTGAGGTTCAGCACTGGGTCATGAACATTGTGACAGGTTCTTCCTCCGGTCCACAAACGAGAAGGGCAATGCCTGGATTTCTGAAGATGATGTGTTATTATTAGAACTAATGTAGGAGTTTATGACTGATGCAGCATTATTTGCATGTTTGTGGCATTATAACTCATGCCTCTAGCTTGCATTGCCTGTAGGGCACAACCCTTCAAAGCATACTTTACAGGGGCATGTGACCAGAAATCCAAGAATATATCTCCAGGCTTACTGAATATAATGGAGCACCGTTTAAAGAAGGCAAATACTTTGTAATACATAAATTATACATAACCCTGATTTTCAGAAGTCTCAACTGAGAGCAAAATGTGCAGATGGAACCATTAGACTAATATATAAATATACAAACATACATGTGTACCAAGTTAAATCCCAAAGTTAAAGGTATAGTGTCACTCAGATATATTGTAAATGAAACTTCGCCCTGTATTGTGGGAGACACCTGTAATACTCAAAGGCTAAACACCCAGAAGATGATTTAAGTGACACTGCTGACTTTATTACTGTAAAATAGGTACAAGCTGAGACATGAAGAAGCAGATTAGAGCTGAGCTGGAAAAGCATGAAATTCTACCAGTATTTCATCTTCTGCAAAATCCCTTTCATTAAAGGCAACTGTTTATACCTTCACTAAGTGCATAATTAGTTTTATTTAGTATAAAACGCTTTTTTATTGTATTTAAATGACCATTAAAAAAATACATAAATATATAATTATATAAATCTATATATAATATTATAATTAGAATCTAATTCTTATATTTTATTGAATTTAAAATGTATTTCTTTTGATAGTTTCATTTGTATGCACTGCAAATATATATTGTTTGTAAATATGCAAAAAAAATTCTGTTCTTTATATTCACCAAAGAATCCTGGGAAAAAAGTATCATGGTTTCAACAAAGATATTAAACAGCAACCGTTTTTTATCATTGATAATAATAAGAAATTAAAATGTTTGAGCACCCAAACAGAATATTAGTTATTAATAAAGATTTCTGAAGAATCATGCGACACTGAAGACTGAGTAATGGAGGCTGAAAATTCAGCTTTGCCATCACAGGAATAAATTACATTTGAAAATCTATTAAATTATTTTAAACTGTAATAATATTTACCAATATTACTGTTTTACTGCATTTTTTTGTCAAATAAACGCAGCCTTGGTGAGCATAAGCATTTTTTCATAAACATTAAAAATTCGTACCAATCTCAAACCTGTGAACAGTAGTGTTTCAGTGATCTTGTAGAAACGCTTATCTTCACTGCTTTATTGGTGTTTAGATGAAACCTCATTCCAAAGAAAATTCTGAGGCAGAGCCAAAGCAAGTCCAGATGTTCCAAAAGGCACTATTGGCTCAATTATCAACAACAGAAAGCTACATAAATCACCCAGACAATGACTGAAAGGTTGTGCCTCACACTATCAGTGTGAATAAGCAGATCTGTGAGAGAAGCACAGCGAGGCCAAGATCTTTTTGAGGGATATACAAAGTTCAGTATGGAAAATGTAGTAAATGTGCAGCAGTCAACCATATCAAGAGCTCTGCACAACACTGGCCTATAAAAGAGGGGTAGCACAATAGATGCCATCACTCAAATGAATTAGACTATAGCACTCAAGAGAACCATAAACTATAACAGAGCTCACAATGAAAGATTTTATGGTTAAATGGCACAAAAATTAAATCTAAAATAAAAAAAAAATTTTTTAGAAATCATGTTTAAATTTGAGTATCAAATATGATAAAACAGGCTTTTGAGGAACATTTATTTCTACATCTCTTCAGTGCATCACATGTTTTCCCCCTCACAGTAAAAACTACCAAGCTGATTATAAAATTAAGCATTTAAATATCATCTTATCACAACATACAATTAGGAGATAAAGAGTGACAACTGATATTTATATGTATTGTATCTAAGTAGTTTGCTAAATACAGTTGCGATGTATAAGAATTTAATCGTACTTTTTTCCATATAAATATAGCAACTGCACTAAATTGCATATTCTGCTCAATTTGGGCCTCTGAATAACATTTAGGTGTTCTTTATTTATTTATTTATTTTGTTACAAATATTTTCTAATATTAAAAAATTATCTTTTTTTATGTTAGTTTTGTGTTTTAGTGCATTTAAATAATAACTCTTGAGAGGATTACAGGTCCTAATCATTTTCGTGACTCTAAACAAGGTTTCCTTATGCTATTAATATGATGCAAGATGCATGTAATCCAGTTTGAATTCCCCCAAAGCTGTTTGAATGGGTGGAATTTACAGGCTATGATTCTACACATCAAGTTCTGTCTTATTTTGCTGCACATAACTTCAGGAAAGAAGTGATCATAATAACACTTCTGCAGGATGATTTAACCTGACCCCTGACCTCAACATAATCACAGTTCAGCCTTAAAATTACATCATTAGTGCCTACAAAATCTTGTCAATGCAAAAACTTTCAAGCACCTGCAAACAAGCATTCAGAATGACTCTATGAACCTCCTATTAAAATATAATTCCTACTGAATGAAAAATATTATGCAATAATATTAGGTAACATTTCAATAAAACAAGTAAGGGAAGTGAACAAATTGTATGACAGGAATCAACAACTACTGCTGTAGGGAGGAGTGGTAAACTATCAGGACTAATCATTCCATTAAATAAGAGGCAACACTGCCTAAAACCACAACGAATAAACCAACATCATGTTCTGGCCTGTTCATACCTGATCAGCACAACACAACACACTGCAAATCTTCTGTTCATGCTATCAGGCGAGTGCACCAATCATCTGCAGACACTAGACTTCAATGCATTGCACAACTCCTTAGCAACATCCGACAAGTTAAGGCACAGCCTCTACAGGGGTTAAGGCAGATAAGCTGTTGGCAGCATGTGAGGAGAAGCACAGTATATCCTGATGGTGCATGCTTGCTCCTCAATGATGATTACATCAAACCCTTTGGGTGAAAGACGCTTGGTGGGATTAAATTCAAATGAATGGATCCTTATACTAAATGGAAAATGACAGATCTAAGAGTATTAGATAATAAGCTCTCACTGCATCAGTGGTTAAACAATCTAAATGAACTGAATGAGAGTTATGGCAACAATTTAGTCCATATGGTTTTGCTACAGTGTGAATTATGTGTGTTTTTCTGTAGGAGATTTGAATCAGGTTCATCAAACTCAAAAGAAAGACTAAGCTTACCTGGGGAAGAACTGGTGACGGTCTTAATCGCTGGAGACAAGCAAAAAGGAAACATATACAAGATCGATTCAATGTGTGTGTTAAATTAAAGTACCAACATTTCTGTACAAAACATAAGCAATGCAGGCATTAGCCTTACGGCAAATTGTTGACGTTAACGCAAACCACAGGGAACTGGTAGAGCATTACTGGAACAATCGTACGATATGTTTAATTAGTGTTTAATTAGGGTGAGGTAAACAAGATTTTCTTAGCGCATAGCCCACACCTTCAATATTATGACTTCTTTTGAGGTAAAACAGGTATCTTATAATGTAATTAGTATTAAAGTCTACTATATTTAAAAGTAATGTTACCAAATAAACATGAAAGAGAAAAATGTAACCCATGGTGCTTGTTAAAAGCTACTGTTTCTTTTTTTTTTATCATAAAAGTCTTAATAAATACATGCCTTTGTTTGATCTACTAGCCATCCATATGGTGCTCTACCATGTAAAAAAAGCTCCTGCTGAGCTTCAATGTCAGTGTTCATTCTTTAACCAATCAAAACAATTAAAACCAGTTCAAGGTTGTGCTGTGTGACCGCCGACCTGAGACAGCCGGCTCTGTCTCATCACAAGTACACTACTTATATCATCTTTTATTAAACCAGATTACGTTGTCAGATTTTATCCATTTTAAACCATTAATACATTAGGAAGCCTCACAGGAACAGGATCACTGACTGTCTGTGAAATGATAGTGCCTACCAAAAAATACTAATTATACAAGCTAGTCTTTTATTCCCTAAATAGCTGAAACAACTTTGTTGCTGATGTTTGGGCATGCAGAGGTTCTAGCTACGCCTTGCTTAGAATAAAAGATGCTAAACCCCAGATAAACCCCTTATCGGTCATAAACCATTTACAGCTGCTACATTCATGGAAAGGTTCAAATGGCAGCAGTTCAAAGGCTGGATACCGCATGGATGCAGTCAGCCAGTCATTACAGACGTTTCAGTGATGAAGATTTCACACCTTTCAACTGCATCATACTGTAATATGATTGGGATATAAAAGGGGTGAGATTGAGGGGAAGGGTTGGGTAGTTAAATACTGATGAGCTTAACAGACCCCCCGGGATAGAGCAGGTGGAGGGTCTGACTCCACTCAAAGCAATTGAAACTTTTTGACTGGGAGGGAATCTACTGTGAAGCAAACCTTCACCATCTGTTATAAACAAGACCATACTCAGGATCAGCGGTTCTCAACCAGGGGTCTGGGGCACACTAGGGGGCCTCGGCAAACTTCCAGGGGGGCCTCAGTAAATCAAAAGTTGATTTAAATGTAGTTATATTGACATAGTTTGAACTAAAATGCTAAGAAAACTGTAAAGACTGAAAACCCATGTCTTATTTAATAATTATACCTTCACTTTTTATGACCACGTTTTATTTGAGGCATACATTTCTACTTTAAAAATGAATTTGTCATTCTACACCGCTATTTAAGTGAACTGCGAAGATACAGCAGTTAAAAGAATACTTCATACAAAAATTCATTAATTAATTAACCTGCCAATAGTATAAGAAAAATAAACTTGATTCAAACTGAAAAAAAAACGGTCACTTAATTTTATTATTATTTTTTATTTTTTTTCCCCAGAAAACAAGACTTAACATCTTATTTCCTTTTGCTTCTCAAGCAAATGTATCTTGATTTAAGAATCTTCAGATATTTGTATTGGAATACAACACAAAAAATACTGAGTAACAAATTTATTTTTGCAGTGTACATTTATGTTGAATGTTAATATATATATATACTGTGTGTGTATATATATACATATATATATATTCTATTTGTCAACTGCCCCCCAAAAATGTGTATGTGTATATATATCTATATATAAATAATCCCTAAGAAATAAGAATATGCAGAACATCATTACTGTCAGACGGTGAATAACTTGAGGCCTGACTTTATTGTGAAGCGTTGAAATGTTGTTCATTACTTCACTTTATTGTATTTTCAAATGCAACATGCCTTACCTGACACAACTTTACTACTGTCCAACAAAATATGTACGCGGAGAGGGAAAACTTGGCTCTCATGTATCGCTCCGGTAAGCAGGCGAGATGCATCTGCACCTCATCCAGTCCTCCGTCTCCAGAACGCTCCAGTTCACAGCCCTGCGTCCCAGCACCGTTCCCAGCGCCTGCCTCTTCCATGTTTACAATGATTTCAACAAGTTTAAAAGTCCTTTAGAATAGGCAACGCGCTCTGACTGTACCTGACTGCTTCATGTTGGTTGTTATTAAGTCCGCTGAAAGTCACAGAAGGCAAAGGCTCTTGATCAGTGCATGACATTCGTGAGTGCAATGGTTTTCACCGCTGTCAGTAGTTATTAGTTATACACATATTTTCCAGCTCCGCGAAACGCGAGATTTACTTGTGACGCGGCGGTGTATAAAAAGCAGTGCAAACGTCTCCGTGGTGTGGTATAACAAATTCAAGCGTCCCACTTTGTTTGTCGGTGAGTCAGGGGGAGAGGAGTGAGAGTTTCGGATCCAATTCCTCCATTTACATTTACAGTAAACGAGCGACGCGACGCGACAAACCAGAACGCGCCCTCTAGGCAGCGAATTTGTGTACGCTGCGAGCGCTCGAGCGTCTTTCAGAGTTGTGGATGGAATTCTGACGTCAACGCCCAATGGACCAATCAAAGGCTTTGTTTACGCGAGCAGCGCGACGCGCCAAACTGGAAGACTCACATTAAAATCAATGAAACGATCTATGCACGTTCATTTGCACTGTAAACATTGCATATTTTAAGCATTTTCTTTCAATAATAGATCATTTATTACTGTCAAGAAATGCAGTGTTCAGCTTTACATACCCAAGGACCCTCATCCAGACAAGGACCACCAATCAAAGATTATAAAACAATATTATTATTTACAATACAATAACATTATTTAATCAAAACAAAATCACTGTCTTAAAGGAATAGTTCACTTGAATATGAAAATTTGCTGAACATGTGCTCACCCTCAGGATATTTAACATGTTGCTAGATGAGTTTGTTTCTTCATCTGAACAGATTTGGAGAAATTTAGCATTACATCACTTGCTCACAAATGAATCCCCTACAGTGAATGGGTGCCGTCAGATTGAGAGTCCAAACAGCTGCTAAAAACATCACAGTAATCCTCAAGTAGGCTAATCTACACGACTACAGATGATGAATTAACTCCTTGTGAAGCGCAGAGCTGTGTTTGCAAGAAATAAATCCATCATTAAGTTTTAACTTTAAACCTGGCCAAAATACCAGTCCATAATCCATAATAATGCGTGAAAATGTCCATCCTCTGTTGTCCTCTCATATCAAAATATACAAATATATTTGTTTAGAACTGAAGAAAGCAATTTTATTGATAGAGGACTCATTTTAGCCAGAACGTTTTGAAGTTAAAAGCATTTTAATGGTTTTGTTTGTTACTAATCTTTTTGTAACAATCGTTTTTCGCTTCACAAGATGTTAACTGATGAGATTTCTTGTGGATTATTGTGATGTTTTTATCAGATGTTTGAACTCTCATTCTGACGGCACCCATTCACTGCAGAGGTTATGTTGGTTATATAAAGTTAAATCTCTCCAAATCTTTTCCTATGAAGAAACAAACAAAATTTTCAGCAAATTTTAATTTTTTTGGTGAACTATTCCTTAATCTTACATGTCATATGGACCCCCTGAAGTATCTTCACAGACCCCTGGTTGAAATCCCTGGGCATAAAAAAAAACATTAAGCTCTTTATTGTATTATATCAAGATTATTGTAATGCATTTAGAGAAAAAGCATTAAATCAATGGCTCTGCAAAGAGAGAGTCTTTTTTTATACCCACATTTATTCACAGACTTGATGTGATTTTGTCTTAAAGCACAGCCGGCGCCAGGCCTGATACAGGGCTCTGTTCAGTCACTCTGTTGTTTGCTTAGCTATTGTTCTGTCTATTAAGCAATGTCTGAGCTATAGTCAATACATACAGTGCTGACACCTCAGCTCATCTGCTTGGTTTTGAAACAGCCCACATCTGAGAGTGAAATCAACCATTGGTACACCATAAAAACCAAAAAGATGTAATTTAAATGCATATGGATTCATAAATAGGTTTTTATTAATACTCCGTGACAAAGGCAAGCACACCAGTATAAATACCAGTAATTGTACAGAACTACGATAATTGTCAGCTGCCCTGTCTTGAAAAGAACATAATGGTACTAAGAGGTGACAAAATAACTTTCTTAAAGGGGTCATATGATGCGATTTCAATTTTTCCTTTCTCTTTGGAGTGTTACAAGCTCTTGGTGCATAAATTAGATCTGTAAAGTTGCAAAGACTAAAGTCTCAAATCCAAAGAGATATTCTTTATAAAAGTTAAGAGTCAACCACGCCTACCTAAACGGCTCGTTCTAACACGCCCCCACATGTCTACATCACTATGTGGGAAGATTTGCATAACGCCGCCCAAATGTTCACGCAAAGAAAGGCGGCGTAACTTTTATTCTCACTGTAGTTTTGTTGCCTCCGCCGTCATGTCATGAAGGCACTGTGTGCTTCGTTGTGAAAGCGAAACTACTTTGTTTGGCCTTCGTCATGCCTGGAGCTGATCCGTGCTGGTCGCTGAGGAAATACTTCAACTTCACGCTGTGGATCGCCGGATCGGCTTTCACCGTGGACGAAGCGGAGTCCAGCCTGGGGTCGTCACATGTGGTTGCCGCAGGCATCACAATATGGTAAGGGGTATAACATTTCCGTCACACGCTTGAGGTATTCGGCCAATCACAACGCACTGGATAGCTGGCCAATCAGAGCACACCTCGCTTTTTCAGACCGATGAGTTTTGTAAAAATTTACGCATTTCAGAAAGGAGGAGAAACAATAATGTACAGTATGAAGAAAATAATGTGTTTTTTTAACCTTACACCACATAAACACATTTCATTACACCAGATACACAAAATAATGTTCTTTTTAGCAACATCATATGACCCCTTTAATACTCCATTCCAACAAAATCTGCCCTTTACATAGTTTATATAGCCTACAAATTCATGCAACACATTCGTTTAGCAATATAGTCATTCATATTATTAGGATATTGTCAGTGGTTCAAGTCTTACATGCTATAATCTGTTATCTAATTCTTGGATTTTGACACAGCTTATCCTGAGAAGTAATATAATTACATTTGTACAAGAAATACTAAACAGCAACACAAATAAAACAACTTCCCCAATTTTAAGTATATCAAATAATATGAAAAAAGTAAGCTATCTGAAAAGCTTCTGTTTTTAATTGTCAATGCCAAACTAGAGTGCTTTTAATGAGGATTATCATTGCCTTCATTACTGACACCAACCCTGTACCAGATGTTGTTATGGCTGATGCTGATGTAACGAAAAACAGGTTGAGGCCCTGAAATATAATACTTTACTAATAGCTGCTAAGGTTTTAGCAGAAAGGGCTTTTTTGAAATGACCCTTTGGCTTACTTTTGTTTAGAGCAAGGATTGCATGCACATACAGTATAGGCCACTTCTAAAGGTACCATTTCTTTGGTATCCGATTTTATTTTTTCAAAATTTTGGTTTATTTATATATACATCCATAACCTTTAAGAGTGTAAATAAATGGTTTGAAGTTAAGTTCAGTGTTAACAGAAAACCGCCCACCCAAATATAGATGTACAGACGTCTATATTTAAGCAGATAACTGTCTGTTCAAAGATAGATGTGCATGCAGACATATAGATTAATAGTCATACCAGGGGTTGTATTTATGGGAATTCTGTTCAATAACAACCCTAGCTGGACTATTGCAGTCTAGGTTGAGTTGAAGTATTTACAAAGTTAAAAAAAAGGGACTGAACTGGCAGAATTACATTCCAAAATGGACAAAGACAACAAGTAAAAGTGCCACCTGCCTGCTTTGTGAAGAGGCCTACTATATGTATGAATGGACCCTTTTTTGGTGCCTCTCATCAATTCTGGTCACATCAGCCAGATCAGAGGCGTTCTTTCAAAGGGCTACTTTACCTCATTTATTCACTGATACACAATTATCCATCTCTGTTTTGAACTCTAATTGGACAAATAAAAATGCAAAGTTGATTCCATTGCTATGTCTCTAGCTGTCCCAATCCTTTCAAGAAATTGGCTGTTTGTCTTCAAAAGTCCAGAATAGAGCTTTTCAAATAGCTTGACAGATTGTTTCGATGTACAGAAACAAGCTAAAGTATAACTTTCCACAATGTCAAATTCCATAACTTTTCTCTAAGACAACAGTTTAAAATGTGTCCCTCGGACATTAATAAAGTGTTATTGTAGCTATTGCACTAGTATGTACTGTCATTGAAAACTCCAGCAATAAATTTGCAATAAAAAATAAGTGATTGCAGAAAATTTATTCACTGATACAGAATTATCCATCTCTGTTTTGAACTCTAATTGGACAAATGAAAATGCAAAGTTGATTCCATTGCTATGTCTCTAGCTGTCCCAATCCTTTCAAGAAATTGGCTGTTTGTCTTCAAAAGTCCAGAATAGAGCTTTTCAAATAGCTTGACAGATTGTTTTGATGTACAGAAACAAGCTAAAGTATAACTTCCCACAATGTCAAATTCCATAACTTTTCTCTAAGACAACAGTTTAAAATGTGTCCCTCGGACATTAATAAAGTGTTATTGTAGTTATTGCACTAGTATGTACTGTCATTGAAAACTCCAGCAATAAATTTGCAATAATCATTTGGAAACCAAGGTCCTAGAGCCCTCTGGCTGCAAGCCGAACTGCTGGAGAGCAGCATCAGATGAGACAAGCATGCGTAGAAAATGTCCTGCTCTGATGGAAGATAATGTATGAGGAAATACAGACAGGCTTAGTTTGATTCTGGTGAAGAAATGCAGGTGGTTTAAACATTCTGTTCAATCTCACACTGGGTTTTCTGCACTTATGCATAGGTTGTGAAATGTCTATACTGCCACATAGTGGCCAAACTGTACTTTACAGTGTAAAAATAACACTGTTTTATCTGTAACCCAACTCATTTTGATCAAGGTTAATTAAAAACCAACATGCCAACATCTGTCACTACATAATAAAACATATTTGGGTAGACTGTGCCCCCCAGAACACTGCAAGTCACTGGTGGCTTAGACTGAATACACGCTTTCATATTTTCCAGATGTGCATGAAAACAGCTGTCTGTTGTGTGAAGATCCACTGAGAGCTGAGCAGGAAATAAAAGTATGTCAATAGACCAGTCACTACTCATGTCCAACACAGTAACCATGATATAACCATCCAAAACAAGCCGAGCAATATACCTCAGGCCACATTCAAATACATTTAATAATAATAATTATTATTGTTTTATTAACAAATAAATTTCCTGCTAAGGAAAAACAAGCTCCACATTTTTATTGTACACTGATATTGCAATAAGAAATACAAACACTAAATAAGACAAAGTCCTGTCTCACGCTCTCTTGATGTTGTCCCGGTTTTATTTGCTTATTAATCTTCTAAAGCAGCTCTGTTAAGAGAAGCAGACTGAAGGTGGATAAAAATCCACTTTAGCCTGATTAGAGTGACAGTGGAACTCAAGATGAGTTCAGTATCTATATTCAACATTTTCTGCAGGCAAAACATTACTGACAAGCCCACAGTTGAAATCAAATCTAAAAGGCCATTTATCTAAAATGCAAGAGGTTGATTTAGTTCTTAATTAGTTCCTACAATTTCACATGATCTTATATTTTATAGAATTAAATTAAATATAAAGTGAATTAAAACATAATTAAAATGCTAACCCCCACATTATCTATTAGTTTATGTAAAATACATACAGAATCAAAATCTTGAAACTTGATTAATTTAATATATGAACACACTCAGTTTGAAAACAAGCAGCATTATCATAATATCTTAGCAAATATGGGGGGGCTTTCAATATTGTGTTAGACAATGGGGGGCTTTCAAGTCAAAATTGTTGAGAACCACTGACCTAGAGGATTCACATGTTCTTGAGAGTAAATAAATAAGTAGCAACCTGCAATCTGACACAATCAGTGCTGGGGCACATTTTGGGGCCCTTTTTAGCAGCAGAAAGGTAAGAAGATTGGCTAAAAGGCTGTAAAATGCCCATTAAGAGATTACACAAAGAAAAAAAAACATTTAAGGCATTTTGAATTTGAATCAAATTCTATGTCAACAGTGCCAGACAGCCTTATTAAATTATTAACAAGCTATTCTCCTCAAATTCCATTTACTTTCAGTTACACCATTACCATTTTAAATAATTAATTACCACAGGTCAGATGTCTTCAGAAGTCCTAATCACCAAATAGCATCTAAGCAAAATAAAAAATAATAAAATCTTCATCAAAACACAGCCCCATGCAATATAAAGCAATTACAAAAAAGAATTAACTGCAGCATCAAATGCTAATCAGAACCTTATGACTCTAACATCATATCCACTTTCATGCTGGTACACTGCCAATATACTGACAGCTTTCCCATCTGTTTCAAGATATCAGCTGAAATATATAGCAAGACACAGATATATAGGGAGGATATCTGACCTTGAAGCCCTATCAAAAGCTATCCTGCTCATTAATTTACTCCAAACACGTTCGCCTGGAGAACTATAATTCTGAAGCTGCTAATAAGTAAGTCATTTATAAAGGAACAAATCCAGATAGACAATGCTTATTGTAGTTTTCAATGTTTCCATATTAATGTATTTCAGGACAGAGTGCAGACATTTCAGATCATTTTTGTGAAATAGTTTACATTAGAGGACTAATAATAGACCAAATTAGAGGACTAATAATAGACTAAAACCCTCCCTCCCCCTAAAATCCTAATTACATATTCAGTCCAAGTGACGCACACACCAAACAACCCATAGATCAGAATCTTCAAGCACCTCTGCTGACCCAGCTACAGCAGAATAATTCCCAGAAAGCCTTGAAACGCTGAGACACAAACACTTCCCCTGACACAAGCACAAAACAGTGGTCACTGACTCCCTTACGATGTAATTAAAGAAGAGGTTTTAAAGGCACTGATCAGCAAAAATGTGCACTAATGACTGGCAGTGTAAAAAGACTCTTAATATACTACTTTGAAAATGCTTTTAAAAGACAAAACATAAGAAGAATATATTAAGTATTATGCTGTTAAACCTTTCCGATTTTCCTATTGTATTTTTTTTTTACCGCATAATGCTCTGCTGCTGCAATTGACAGCCTGTTACAGTATAGCATGCCAATTTCACCTCTTGCCATTGTTTGTGAGTGAACTGAAGGAGAACATGCTTGCTGTGAGTATACCTGCAAGGCATGTGAGAATTTGACAGCAGGATGAAGGACTAAGCGACACATTTCCTCTGAGGCCTCACTATAGCACAGGTGCTTCTCAAGCACCCCTACAGTCATTAATAATGAAACTTTTCTTAGCTCTATTTTTCTTGCAATAAGATTAGTGATTTGGAATGATATAATAAAAAGCAAATAAATAATGCAAACATATTTTAAAAAGAAAATGAACTGGATAGCCAACATGACGTGAAACAGTGGTAGCGTCCTGCAGTGTGGCAAGTGTTTAAATATATTTTAGACTGCATATTACAATCATTGTATTATACTTATTGTCTAATATTTAATTAAAAAACAGATGACAAACAGCTAGACATGGATTGATGGATGGATGATTGGATGGATGGATGGATGGGACTGCGCTGACATCAAATGAAACTATATAATTGTGCAAATATGTGCTAACTCTTGATTAGAAAAATCCAGCACCTGTTTCACTTCTTCATTCTGCATCTGCGTTCTACTTTTCTATCCCCTGGAAAGACACTGCATGATCCCTCACTATTCACAGCAGACTTCCTGTGATGCCGTAATCTGTGCTTCTTTTTGGATGGGTTTCTCTCTTCCATCTTATTCAAATGGTGTATGTGGTGGTCCTCTCTGCAAAGAAAATCTGAAGAGGCAGAGGCCATGAGAGGAAGAGATGTAGGCCTGGTAGCTTGATATACGTCTGCATCACCAGATTCAATATCGCATGGACCGTAAGTTTCCAACACCAAATCATCTGAACCATTGGTAGTGACAAGTCCCTTAGTCTCCAAAAGGGAAGGTTTCACATCTTCAGAAAAGTTGGACTTCCTCAAGTGATCATGCAAGCTTCTCTCAGAAGTTGCCACTGGCCTTTTCTTTTTCTTTATGTATTTTTGAGAGTGTTCTTTGTTCCTTTTTACCCCTTGCTCAGGCTCAAGGATATCTCTTATCTCACAGCTTGAGTGAGCTTGAGTAAAGTTGATTTTCATAGAAGACAACTGACTTGCGCACTGCTGAACAAGAGAAGCTAGACTGATGTCACTAATTATCCCGCAGGTGCTGGCTGGAGAGAGTAGGTCTCTGGTTATTGGCTGTGGAGTTAGAGAGGACCTAGGAAGACTGGCATGGCCCCAAAGGTTTGAAGTCTTGATGTGCTCAATGAGGGACATACAAGAGCGGCACAGGTGCAGATCTTTCACTCCATTTTTCAGGGAACTCTTGCAAGATTCACAAAGAGAATCCTTGTTTATGGCCAACACAAACAAAGACCTTGTCCCAGAGCCAGGAGAGCTTACCACTGGGGACTGCAAATCTCCAGCTGGAGTTTTAGGAGAGTCGATATTGAATATCCTGAAACACACACCACTCATTGGGGTCTTGGGTTGGCTCTCTGGAGAGGCCAAGGTTGACATCACTGTGTTTGCATCATATTTTGAAGGCAGAACACCAACGCTTTTCTGACTTGACTCTTTGAAATCAGCTGTGTCTCCTCTACCATTAACAGTTCTTGATCCTTTTGTTGATTTCCTAATCTTTGCTGACTGGGTTTTGAATCTCAGACATTCATCTCTTGTTTCTTCACTGCTAATTTGTGAAGATCTCAACTCTGCTGGGTTGCTATTGTCAGTCCTATGCTTTAGCCAATTTTGGGTTGGCTCTCTGGAGAGGCCAAGGTTGACATCACTGTGTTTGCATCATATTTTGAAGGCAGAACACCAACGCTTTTCTGACTTGACTCTTTGAAATCAGCTGTGTCTCCTCTACCAGTTCTTGATCCTTTTGTTGATTTCCTAATCTTTGCTGACTGGGTTTTGAATCTCAGACATTCATCTCTTGTTTCTTCACTGCTAATTTGTGAAGATCTCAACTCTGCTGGGTTGCTATTGTCAGTCCTATGCTTTAGCCAATTAACTATACCCATAGCCATAGATATCTCAGTGTCACAAAGCTTTAGTAAGCAATCCTTCCCCATCCATTTACTTTGCAGAAGCTCTTGACCAACAAAGTCCTGAGCCAAAGGTGGGGCAAGATTCTCCTCTGCTCCAACATGGAAGCTGTACATGGATAATGGAAGATCACTGCACTGGCCAACAATGCTGTCTGTTAGATTGATCTCATCATTAAAGATCGAGGTCATCTCTGCCTCGCTGGGGTCACAGAATAGCTCATAAAGAGCATCTCTACTGTACGTGTCCCTAGGGAACTTAATGGAATGCACTGGAGTGTGGGAACTTCTGATGTGGTCCTCAAAACCAGGAGAAACATAATCACAGTAGCCCTCATCACTGGTGTTCCCTTGCTTATCACTTTTGGGTGTTATCACATCAGTATTAAATTCCCTGATCTCGGACTCTACAGGTTGTGGTGTATTTGTTGTTTCATCTTCAGACTTGGTTGTGGAAGGAGATTTTGTGATAGGGGTTGTGGATTTTGTTGCATGTCCTGTTGCTTTTGAACTTTGCCCTAGAAGCAAAGTTCTGTTTAGAGTTTCCCACAACCCAAACATGTCTAGGACCTCAGCGTGCGCTGGAGAAGCCAGACACTCCTTACCTCCCTGGAAACCTGTTGTAGTAGGACTTTGCCTCAGATGTTCACAGGCAACTTTGTGATGCTCGGGGCTAAAGACCCCCTCAGGTGATACAAGTTCATCAGCAAATATCTCACCACAACCAGACTGAGATCCAAAGCTTTTTAATGAAGCAGCATCCTCACAGACATTAGCATAACATTCACTGGAAGAATCGGAGGGAGTCTCACTGAGTTCATCATTATATCTGTTACCAACAGTGGTACATTCTCGGTGCCTTACCGTCTTCCTCGTCCGTTTCAATGTTGGAACATTCTCACCTGCAGCATGACATGGTGTACTTAGTGACATAGCTTTCTCATGTTTGTGTCTATTGTGAACAAACAAGTCCTTAATGGCCTTTCTAGGTTTCCTCAGGGAGATCCTCTTTTTAGGAATGGATTTGGCTATGCAGGGCACAAAGGGCACTTGAGGTGTTAGGTTGCGGTAATCAATGATTTCATGACTGCTGCCAGATGTATCTCGATTCTCACGAAGCAGCCTTAGAGGCGCCTCGAATCCTGAAAAGCTGACACTCGTCACCAGCTTATGGTGATGGTGCCAGTTGGTCCCATCTTTGTACACAGGGCTCACAGCTTGCTGCTGTCCCGTTCCTCTCACACAGTCATGGGTTATGCTTCTTCTAAAAGAGCCATGGAACTGCCTATGACCTTCTGAGAGCGTGTCACTAACCCCTGGAGTCAGTATGTCCAGAGTGTCTGGCACAGGCAGTGAGGATGGGCTTTCATCAGTACTGTGTGTATTCACAAATCCATTCTTAGTGGTGGTTTGAGATTTGTGCTCTTCAGGCCATTTACTCCGGCCATGTGCCTTACTTGACCTCTTCCGATCAACTGAAGGATCTTCGCTCTTTGACAGCTCCATGTTTTCATACACATAACTGTAACTAGATATGAGACAAATGCAGGATACAGTAAATATAGGAGGATTATTTATGATTTTTATTTCATTTTTCAAATATTTTACAATGTTATATTGTACTTTAATCATAAATGTGTCTACTATTTCATCCTTTATCACTCAAACCTAGGGTTGCAAAGGGGGGGGGGACCTTCCATGGGAACTTCGTCTGGGGAATTTTGGAAATATTCCAAGTTTGAAACTTACCAGGAATATTTGGGAATTTATAGGAATTAAATGAAAATTTGGGGTAATTTATAAAACTATCATATACAAACATAAATATAAACATTTTGTTTGATCATAGGCTCACATGCATGGAAACTAATAGAAATTTAAAAAATTAAATTTTTGGAGGAAAGCAAAAATTTGGAAAAAAAATCCAAACTTTTTGGAAAGCATTTTGGGGGAGATGCTTTTTTAGAATTTATTGATGAATGAAAACTTGTGAACAGTGTTTATTCAAAATATAAATCTTTTCTAACAATATAAGTCTTTACTATTACTTTTTATTAATTTAACACATCCTTGTTGAATAAAACATAACAGTATATTACACACAGCACAAGGAAGTTTTAAACAATTTTTTTTTGTAATATTCATGTAATTTACATGAATACTTACCAAGATGGACATTTTGATATTTTGTGTGCACGATTTAAGAAATGATCTGTTCATGTTATGTAGGAAAGCACAGTGCATGTGGAGTGTGTGGCCTCAATAGCCCTGCAGTAAGCAGTGTGCTGAGTGTGCATGTGATTGAGCAGTGTGTAGGGTAGAAATTAAACTGAAATTGCATTAAATCAGGTTGTTTTAACCAAGATTATGCTGCAAGATTTTTTCTCAACTACATTTCAGTCCCCAGTTCCTGCAATTTTGCTAATTTCCAGTTTATTCCCATAAATTCCCGTTAATTCACATATATTCCCGTTAACTCCCATAGAAAGTTTCCAGTCTTGAAAATTCCCGGAATTTTGCAACCCTACTCAAACCTGAACAAGATTATTAAAAAATGTTTTTTAAACTGTTAAAATGCACAACATTTAATACACCTTATTTAAAATAAGAAAAAAAATGATATCTAATGTTTTGCTTGAATTTTTGATGCTTTTGAATCTACACGTTAAACTGGCTATGAGATCAGTGAGAAATTTCTATATGCAACAGAAATTCACAATAAATGAATCTTCAAAACAAGCAATGAACATTATTTCAGAAAAAAATGAAAAGACTGCTCTTATCAGCTGAACAATATTCATTTAAAAAGGTTTTTAAACTCATTTTACAATTGTTATTCCACATTTGTGTTTTACATTATTCCTGACAGCTAGAAGATTCATTGCCGCACATATGTGAAAACTAATCAGTAATAAACAGTAACAATATTATTTTGATGCGTGCTTTTATTTGACGTAATAGGGCAAAGTGCAATACTTCTTGTATTTAAATCAATACAAAGGTCCAGCGTTATGTAACTATTTATTCCACAGTTGCTACAATGTAAATATTTATACTACACATCTATTGTAAAGTATATTTTATAGCAAAAGATGACTACAAAAAGGTTGATTTGTAGTAAGAAAAAAGGGATGTAACAATTGCCTACTGTGCACTTCGTTAATACTGATATCATTTAACTGAAACTCAAATCTGAGAACACAAGGACAATCTGTATAGTTTATAAAATAGGTCACACATGAATATTATAACCAGATTGAGCATTATATGGCTCTACAATTTGAAATAAACAACGGGTCATACTACCGGTAATGAGCCAATCGCGAAAAGCCTCACAAAAACAAAATTCCATTGATTTTATATTTAGGAATAACTCCTGTTTGTAACGTACTCTAGTCCCACTGGCTTGCAATTCGTCGTTCGGTTTAATTTGAGCAACGCCTGGATACAATTTTTGCTTAAAACAAAGTCCACTGATTTCTAATAAATGAACGAAATCGAATGGCACGTTATTTCGGCGGTCATTTTAATACATACCTGAGGCAGATTGTAACGAAAGGCGTTTGGCGGGAGCTGGACTGGTGGCTCACAAGCGCGTGACAAGATGGGATGCTCTGGCTGTCAGCGCGCGTGTGGAGATACATAACGATAGCCAATCAGAAGACAGAATAACGCTCACAACACAGCATCATCACTCGCTGATCATAAGCCTGGAGACAACGAGCGCGGAACGTTTTCACACCCTGTGGACACTGAAATATCACCGAAGGGCTTCAATAACATCTCTGGTTGTGAAATATAAAGCCTCCAGGCTCAGCTCAAACTGAGAGACGAATATTAATATATTCCCCTAAAAAAATAAATAAAAGAAAGCCGGTGCATCACAAGCCACTAATTCCATTAAAGCCACTTCACTCAACGTAAAGCCACAATAATAGCTATTTGAATCATTTTAAATAATTAGTGCTAAAACAAAGCTAATGCTTAATGTTTGCTTGTACTATGGCACTAATGTTAATATTTTACCTGTAAATCAAAACACACAAGAATGGAGTTTCATTCTTGAAATGTGACATTTTATTAAACTTCCCAGGAACGCTGAACACAAGAGACAACAATTTTTAGAAGGGAAAAAAAAAAAAAGTTCAGAACTAAACAGAAATATTATGTTCTCCAACTCTGAAGTGCAAATGTTGATCACAGATAAGGAGGAACGCTGAACACAAGAGACAACAATTTTTAGAAGGGAAAAAAAAACAAGTTCAGAACTAAACAGAAATATTATGTTCTCCAACTCTGAAGTGCAAATGTTGATCACAGATAAGGACCCCATCCAAGGTACATAAGGCACAGGAGGTTATCATCCGTGGCTTCTTGAATGAGATAGTGTGCATGGCCCTCAATAGACAGAGGCAGGCCCATCACTTTATTCCTGTTCTTGATCACTCCCTGAAGACGCTGGTCTATGTCCAGAACATGAGTCTTAGCCTAGAGTGGAACAAAACCAAATTATGGCTATTTACAACTATTATTTAAACTCATTACTTAATCTACAGTAAAATGCAACAGCTCAAATTGCATATAAAGCAAGTGTATTCTAACTTCGAACCATAATTCCTTATGTTTACTCATAATTCAAGCCTGCTTAGCTGAATATATAAGCACATATGACAGATAAGCATCTTCATTCAGGCTGAAGTATCTAAGGGGTGAAGTACCTTCTCATTGAGGATCTCTCCAGATTCATTGACTTGTGTCTTAGAGGAACCCTTGACAGGTTTACTCCATTCTACCAAAGGATCATGCAGGAATGTTTTTAAAACACTGGTTAAAAGGAATAAAAAGACATCATGACATTTTAAGTATTATACAAATACTGTATGAAATGTTAAACTCATTACGCAAATCGAACACACTCAGCATAGAACAGTTTTTCTTCAGTATTCATGCATTTCTACTTCAGTATCAGGTCTACTACTAAGTGAAATATCATTCAACAATGCCATTACACAACCGGGCATTCAACAGGAAATAACAGTGTTCAGAGGTAAAGTAGATTACTTATTTAATGCACTAATTTACAAGTGAGGAATGCATTGCATTTTAAGCTCAAAAGTGATTATTTAGATTGCCAAAACAAATCTTTAACAATGTTAGAATGTTACAAATTAATACAAAATAATTAAAATATTCATATTGTATATTTTACTTTGGTTGTTGTAGTCCAATGATTAGTCCTGTTATTAAAATAACAGAACGAAAATGGATTCAAATACAGTTCAGGTTGGACACATAAACAATCTTTATCTGTAACAGTCATAATAATACTGGTCAATCCTCTAACCCTTGATAAATAATATACCAAAAAAAAAGAAAAAAAATAGACAAACATCTAGTAGTAGTAGTAGTAGTAATAAGAGTAATTAGTAAGATCAACTAAAGTGATATGGATATGTATGTTCCTGCATCGTATCGTTCAAAGTTAGGGGTCATATGGGTTATGTTTTTATTTCGAAAGAAATTAATACTTTTGTTGACTTTAATTTTGATCAAAAGCGACATTAAATTTTGTTTCCATTTCAAATAAAGGCTGATCTTTTGAACTTTCTATTTATCAAAGTTTCCATAAAAAATATTAAACAGCACAACAGTTTTCAACATTGATAATAATAAATGTTCCTTGAACACCAAATAATTTTCGAATGATTTCTGAAGGTTCATGTGACACTGAAGACTGGAGTAACGGCTGCTGAAAATTCAGTTTTGCCGTCACAGCAAAAAGTTAGTATTTTTTAAATTATAATATTTCAGCATATTACTGTTAGTACTGTATTTTTAATCAAATAAATGCAGCCTTGGTGAGCATACAAAACTTCTTTAAAAAAAAAAAATTTTTTTTTTTTTTTTTTTTATCTTACCGACCCCAAACTTTTGAACAGTAGTGGAATTTTGTCTGCCTGTGTAAGTTCAGAGATGTTCACCTCATGAGTGGCTCTCTCTGGTCCCTCATAAGTCTGAGTGTGACTTCACAGGCCTGTCTGAACAGGCCCTCTGTGCCCATCGGCCCCATCGCATGAACCATGTTCTGAGTGAGCCGGAAGGGAACCACCTCAGGAACATCAAATGTCTCCCCCTTAAGCACCAAAAACACATTTATTCTTCAGTTACCCAAAGATATAAAGTATAGGGAGTAATAAAACTGTCACATTCCTCATTCATCTCAAACCTTGTTGAAGAGGCAGTTGAAATCCACATGGACACACTCGCCAGTTAGGGAGTCAAACAAAATGTTCTCTCCATGGCGATCGCCAAGTCCAAGAATATAGCCCACCATAGACATGACTGCAGTAGAGCGACAGTAAGCAGACCTGCTGTTGTACCTGTGAAATGCCACATTTGCCCCATGTGCAAAGATGTTCAAGTAAGTGCTTTCCTAATGAATTACTCAAAACTCACCTTAATAGCAAACACTAAGAAACATTTAGCATATTACTGTGCAAAGATATTATGACTATGAACACTGAAAGCCTGTAATATATATACCAAGAGGTGGGATCAGGAAACGTCCGTAGGAACCACTCATGAAAAACTGGTGGGTGTCTGGCACACAGCACATCTTTGTGCAGCTTTAGCTTCTCCTGAAAAGATGCTGTTTTTGGCAAAATCAGCTTTCGCAGCTCTGTCCCACTGACATAGATCCCTGTTCAAAAAACAAATACACCACTTTAACTCAATTTAGACCAATTTCACTAAAAATATGGGAATTGAAAACAGCCTGAAAATAACACTCAGTATGCTTAAAATTTTTAAAACGGCATGCTTAACGCTCTCTAGAATTGATTCTGATTGGTTAATCAATATTTCATGTCTATATACAGTACACTATCGTTCAGAAGTTTGGGGTCAATAAAAATGTATTAAAACAGAAATGTTGTGAAACATTATTATAATTTAACATAAATGTTTTCTATTTGAATATATTTTAAAATGTAAATTATTCCTGTGATGGCAAAACTGAATTTTCAGCATCATTACTCCAGTCTTCAGTGTCACATGATCCTTCAGAAATCAATCTAATATGCTGATTTGCTGCTCAAGAAACATTTCTTCTTATTATCATTGTTGAAAACGGTGCTACTTAATACTTTTTTGTGGAAATCATTTTTTTTCCCCAGGATTCTTTGATGAATGGAAAGTTTAAAAAACAGCATTTATGTGAAACAGAAATCTTTTGGAACATTATAAATGCTGCCTTTTTTGATCAATTTAATGCATCCTGCCAAAGAAAAAAAAATCTTACTAACCCTTTTGAATGGCAGTAGGCCCGTTTATTTATTTGGTGATAACAACTGTAAGCCGATCATTACCACAAAATAAATCACTTCAGAGTGATACAAGCTTTTATTTTACGCTCTGTGTCAGGATATTATGCAACTCATAACATTACTCCATTATGACATACACTGTATATCCTGAAGAGAAATCGAGGCTATGAAATCAGCACACCTTTCTCTTTATACAGCTTTGTGAGGATGTGGCGTACACCCGCCGTGTTGTTGACCCACTCTATTATGCCGCACTCTTCATTTAGAGGGATGACTGCATATGTCCGAATGTGCAAATCCCTCCGTCTAGACTCCGCATCTTTCCTCAAAGACTAACAAAGGCACATTTTTATTAGGCAAGTTCTCAGGAAAATGCCGTTCATCATTCAGGTATTTAGTGAACAGCACATCTCTAGTACCTTATTAATCAGACAGTTGAACTCCATCAGCCTGCAATCTTTCCTCAGGTCATCTTTAGGTTTGCACATCATGGTGTAGAACTTTCCATCAGAGCCCTTGAGCGAGATCTTTTTAGGCTTCTGCAAGGATGCCAAGATCTCCACCTTGATTAAATGAAACGTGTAATGATGAATCATGAATAAAGTATCATCTGAAATGAGAGTGACGCATTATGTGCTCAAAAACTGGTGTATGGTGAAACAGGCGGGACTGACTGTGTCATCAAAGCCACCGAGGTAGACCCAGTGTCCTGGAAAGGCATCGTGTTTGGGGTTGGCTCCGCCAGTGGAAGGCAGGGTGGGTATAAGGACAGACTGCAGGGGGATCAGGATCTGACTGAAGGTAGGCTCTTCCACCAGTTTCTTCAGCATTTTGAAGTGTACGCTCATGCTGAGGGTGCTGCTGTTCCCATCCACCTACACAATTAAACAAAAACACAGTCTGACTGCATCCAAATGCAACCGTAATTTTAGAACCAACTGAGTTTAAAATGAATGCTAAGCGGAAAGTTAGGGAATAGTAAAGATTAAGAATAAATGCATAAAAGCTGTTTCCATGGAAATCAAAATATAATTTTCTTGTTAGCGGTACAGTCTTGTCCTACTGGTTTATTGCCGAGCTCCACCAGCTTGTCAGTCAGTCTGTTGGCATCTCCGATAAATTTCCCAAATGACTCATTTAGACTGACGGCCTTCTTCAGGATCTCCTTACATCTGTTCATTCGGGTCGGATAGGAGGACTAAAAAAAAAATAATTTTAAAAGCACATACATTAAACCGTTTATATCCGTGAAAAGACACTATTTATGGTTGTAGATGTGTCTAAGGTGTCTGACCTTTGACACAGCAGTCATCATCCACATAGCTTGTTGTGGGTAAGCTAAGAAAACTTTGGCCACAATCTCCATCAGCACAGCAAAGACTTCATTGTTGGAGTGGCAGATTCGGGAGATGAGCTGTGAAAAGGCTGTGAGGAACTGATAGGGCGAGAGGTTGCTGGTGTGTTCGCTGATGACGGAATTGATCTTAGTGAGTTCAGCACGCATCTGGGCTCGGTCAGAGCGGCCAGCTGAAAAAAAAAGGAGGAAGCTGGTGTGTCATAGTGGAAATCAGAAATCAATTACTGGTCAACACAAATAATTTATTATTTAAAAGTAGGGCTGTCATCGTTAACGCATGCGATTAATTTTACAATCCTTAACGCGTTAAAATAATTTTGCGCAATTAACGCAAAATTACTGAAGCACAATTTCTATTCTAACCCTTTAACCCAATTTTGCTTCTATGCTTGCTATTAGATCATTTTAAGCTGCTAAACTCCGGGAAAGTTTTCAGTCCAATGATCCAGTAAGCGAATGCATTCAAACAATCCGTCCAAAACAGCGCTAATATAAAGGAAACCAGGCTGATTACATCAGAGATCGCAGAGAGAACAGAGACTCGCGTTGCGTTTTAAGTGAATTATTCATTCCAGTGTGTTTCGCTTTAAACACAAGCTCTGTCATCTGAGATTGTCTCTGAAGAGCGCGAGCCCTCACACGTCGCGCTGTGTGAAGTACAGACTGAACGGATTGTCAACACATCCCACCGCTGTATGGCCAGATGAGATGCAAACTATGGTTTCTCGACTTGATAACCAGTCTCGCTAGTAAAGTTTTGATGGATGAAGACGCAACTTGACTCTTTGCTGTTGCACTGTACACATACTATAAAATTCTGATTTTTTTTTTCTTTCATATGTGCTCATATGGGCTCCTTATATCATTTGGTTCTTTGGTGTCCTTTTGGAGTTTCTAAGTGTCATTTTTTGGAAAGACATCTAAATTTATCTTGAAAAAAGCTTGCAGAAAATACAGATTTTTGAGAATCACCCTTCAATCTTTTGGTTTACTTTGCTGGATATAGCAAATGATGACAAAATAAACATTTGAAACAAGATAAATGGTCTATGCTTAATTTCATGAAGTGTGCGATTAATCGCGATTAATCACAGAAAAAGGATGTGATTAATCAGATAAATAATTAATTGATTGACAGCCCTATTTAAAAGGTTAAAATATTTCAAGAACAACGCATAAGAATCTGCACGATTCATAATCAATGCATTGATAAAATGAGTAAATCTTTTAACGGTTCATTTCTAAAACTATAGTTAATCAATTTGATTGATTCTTTTGTGATTGAAGTCAACTGCAGGCCAATAAAAGGATTAAAATATTTTAAAATCAATGCATATGAATCTGCAAGATTTGTAATCGATGCATTAATACAACGAGTGAATTGTATAATTACTTAGTTTTAACACTACAGATTATCGAGGGTAATTTTGTGTTTTACCTTTTTCAAACTCATAAACTTTGGCTCCGAAGTCCAGCCATAAGGTTAGCATTCTGGGCATGGCTTGATAGATGTACTGATTGCCAAACTGCAGGGCTCTATGAAGAGAGAGCAAAACATTACTGTTTCTACCTATCACACATTGAAAAACATTTAATTCAGGAACTGCTCCTACAGGAGGATTACCAATAGAAAACATCTTACTTTCCAAAATAAGTGACGATATAACGGATGAGGTTGCCTTGTCTTTCCAGTTTGTTGTCAGTGACCATGGGCATCACTTTGTCATAGTATTTGGCCAGGTAAAAGTTACCATCCTCCCATTCTGGTAACAGATGTGTGACATCCTGTATTTATGAAAGAAAAAGACACTGTGTGATCTATGGCTGAACAGAGTTAATTGTAAAGAACATTTTAATAATCTAAGGAACCATTTTCCACCATAAAGAACCTTTTGTCCAATGGAAAAGTCTATAGATGTTACAGGTTCTTCAGTGAACCATCGATGCCAATAAGGAACCTTTATTTTAAAGAGTGTAGACATCTTACACACAATACTCCAATGATGACAGTTAAGAGACAAAAAATTATCCGAAAGCATGACAGCACATCTGATTAACTGCTCACATTTGAGCACGGTCTATGAAGGATCATAAAATAGTATACTAATGTGTTTTAATGAGTGTGTTATGAAACAAGCCTTGAACAACTGCTTTTAGCTTGAACGCAGCATTTTAGAAGTGTTTCATGCGCAAGATGCTGCAGAAGACACGTGTGTAACGGTCAAACACATCCTGTCTGTCAAGCACATGTTTACATAGAAAAACAAAACAAAAGCAGCACAGTTGAATGCAAAAACCTTTGAAGAACTACTACACGTTTGATATTTCATGTTTGTATGATGGTGATAGGCTAAAAGATGCTTGTTCTTTTCAAAACATTTACTATTAATAATAGCCCACTGTAGCGTCTGGACCAATCAAACACACAATATATATTTTGTTAGCTATATTTAACAAATACTCTGTAACACCCCTCAGTTAACAAGCCATATGAGGACCTATGAACCCTTCCCCCTGAAATGCGTAACACCCCAGGAAGCCGAACAGGCCCCTGGTTCCATGGCAACCAACGCTGATATCACTGGGTTTATTGGCCAAAGGAATGCAAAGCAGGGAAAATCCCTGCATGTCCCAGGGCAAGAGGCAGTGTAGAAATGGACTTTTCTACTAATTAATTCATAGGAAAACCTTTCTTTGAATGAACAGTGTATCCTTAAGGTCATTGGGTATATTATTGTCATCGTGTATTTTGTCTTTGAAATTGTATACTGTGATGCAGGCTTATAATCGAAACACACTCCTGTCATCCTTTCACTATATGTAATCCTACCTTGCTTAGTATCTATGAATTCGCCTTCTTATGATCGAAACATTGAGATTCCGGACTTCCTCATTGGACAAGCCCATCTTGAGGGGCGTGAATCTTTGTAGGCTTTAAAGGCCACACTTCATGTGACCCGCGTCAGTCGGTGGTTTGTTGGAATTCTGAGAGGTGGTGAGAAAAACGCTCCCGGAAACCCTAAGCTCGCGCCAGGCTTCGGCCTTGTCCTTTCCATTCATCAAGTTACTCTGACGCAAACTGGTTCTTTCTCATCAACCAACTTCAGCAAGATCTTGGGCCTTAAGATTGCACTTTTACTCATTTTGAATTCTGAACATATGTGACCCTGGATCACAAAACCTTAAGTGTCTTAAAAAGTCTTAAGTGTCCATTTTTTCATATTGAGATTTATACATCAGCTGAAAGTGGAATAAATAAGCTTTCCATTGATGTGTGGTTTGTTAGGATAGGACAATATTTGACCGAGATGCAACTATTTGAAAATCTGAGCTGCAGAAGGAACTTTAAAACCTTTAAAGTTGTCCAAATGAAGTCCTTAGCAATGCATATTACTAATCAAAAATGAAGTTTTGATATATTTACGGTAGGAAATTTACAAAATATCTTCATGGAACATGATCTTTACTTAATATCCTAATGATTTTTGGCATAAAAGAAAAATCTATAATTTTGACCCATACAATGTATTTTTGGCTATTGCTACAAATATGCCCGTGCAACATAAGACTTGTTTTGTGGTCCAAGGTCACCTAGGATATGTTAAAGAGGGGTTTCTACAATCTTTGCCTTCACATTTCATGTGAAGTGAATTTATTTTACATTTACACCATGTTGTCCACTTGATGTGTTTTACTTGAACTACACTGTAGTTACATTTTAGGTTATGTAGTTAAATGATAATTAAAAAAATTATCAATCAAATTGTTATCCTGAATTGGTCAAACTTAAAAAAATAAATAAAAAATTTTTTTCGCCCAGCCATAGTCTAATCATTCTGATTTCTGTTACATTTGTCCTCATATGTAATTGACTGAAATACCTTATAGGTTTTCATAATAGCATTGCTCTCAAAGTTGGCCGTCTCCTCCATGTATCTGCCCACCAGCAGCATGGCGTTCCCTTTTATCTGGATTCTCTTTGGGTCGGTGAGTGGCTGTTCATCAGGAAAACACTGCTGCACACCTTTCTGCAGGACTATCAGAGCCTGATGCACATCACCCTATAACAACAACATCTTTCCTTAGAACAATTTCAATGATGGATAAGGCCTCCATCAAAGAGACTAGCATTGGTATTTAAACATTATCTGAACTGCTATACCTTAGACCAGAGCCATTTGGCTTTCTCGATGAAGAGCTCAGAGAGAGAGTTCTCAGCATTGAGCAGGGCATTGAAGGCTGTTTGGTGATGGCCAGCTCTTCTGGCCACACGAGCGCTCTGCAGCCAGCACTCACCAACCTGCTCCTCACATGAAGAACTGCAAAGAAGTTTTCATCAAACACACAAACACACTCTCAAATCAAATTGCATTACCACTCAAACAAATGTTATACATTATAATTATATTACCACTATTTTATTATTTACTCATGGTTATGTATTTTGAAATGTGCACTACCAGTCAAAGGTTTGGAATAATTAAGATATTTTTTATGATTTTGAAAGAACTCTCTGATTTCTGATGGAGCATGTGGCACTGAAGACTGTAGCTTTACCATCACAGGAATAAATTCAATTTTAAAATATACAGTGGGTACGGAAAGTATTCAGACCCCTTTAAATTTTTCACTTTTTGTTATATTGCAGCCATTTGCTAAAATCATTTAAGTAAATTTTTTTTCCTCATTAATGTACACACAGCACCCCATATTGACAGAAAAACACAGAATTGTTGACATTTTTGCAGATTTATTAAAAAAGAAAAACTGAAATATCACATGGTCCTAAGTATTCAGACCCTTTGCTGTGACACTCATATATTTAACTCAGGGGCTGTCCATTTCTTCTGATCATCCTGGAGATGGTTCTACACCTTCATTTGAGTCAAGCTGTGTTTGATTATACTGATTGGACCTCAATAAAATGGAAAAGAACTGGTAGTGTTTGAATTACTTTCTTTTAAGGGACAAAAAAGTATTTTTTGCAAATGTCCAAGCTGCTCTTTTCCATACAATCAAACTGAATGGTGACCACAGCTATCAAGCAAGATTTTCAGTGAATAACAACTTATTTATACACAGAATACGGTGTATATTATTATTACGTATAGTGTAGGATTTATTTTGAAATAATTTTCACTCAGAAATTGCTAGTAAATTTCACAAATAATTACAAAGAAATAGCAAATAACACATTGAATTAAACCGTTTTTTTTTGTTTATTTTTAAAGTACAAAGACTGAAATAGTATTTTCTTGTAAAACATTTTCCAATATTCTTTGTTTTATTTACAAATTTCGAAAAATCTTTTTTTTTTTTTTTTACTGTGCAGACATTCTGCTAAACTTTTCATTTTGTGTTCCATTGAAGAAAGGAAGTAATTCAAGTTTGAAACAACATGAGTAAATGAACATTTTTATTGTTGGGTGAACTTCCTCTTTGCCTCTAGAATGATTTAGAAAGAGAAAAGACAATACACTACCAAGTATCTTTAAACGCATATTCAAAAATGAACTCATTACTTGGATTTTTGACATGGAAGTAAAACATTGTGTATTTTGAACTGAAAGTCATATGTTCTCATACCCCTTGCTGAGACTGAGAAGAGCTCTCCGCAGGGCCAGGACGGGTTCCTTGGCTCTGAACGAGTTTTGGGTCATGAGTAGGCGGGCATCCCAGTTGAGTTTGGGCTCAGGCTTCTTGGATCCTCCAGCATCTCTGCTTTCCTTCTGCAGCTCAGTGAAGGCATGCTCCAACTCACACAGCATGTGCAGCCTAAGACCCAACACAAAAGTGCATTTGAGAACACTGTATGTGTATAGTTTTTAATTTTCCAAAATGGTCAACCACCAGATTACCTGACTATGTACTCATATCCTCTCTGATAGGTGCCACACTCAAAACTGGCTGCTGATAAAGGGACGACTTGTTCTTTCCTAGCTACTTTAAGCTTTTCATAGAATGCCTCGGAATCTTGCTTCTTGCCAGCCAGCAACATTTGGCCAAGTCTGACACCCCATGTGCTGGACTTACAATCTATAAAACAGATGACAAATATTAATGCTTCTTCAATCTGAAAAACATTTCTGTTTCTAGAAACAGCAAAAGTCCTTTACCAGAGGCAATATAGTCCTCAACTAAGTCCCATTTTGACAGCTTCCATGCTGCCTCGACCCGGTACGCATTCAGATCGGATTTCCATCGTGGCCTTTGTTAAGAAAATAACATCGGTTTAAAAAAACAAAATCAGTGGTTGCATGAAACGGTGTCAGAGGACTGCGTCTACATCAGTACACCTACCTGCTTGCCAGAACTCCATTGACCTGAGTTATTACTGTAGAGAGTTGACCAAGACCCAACATAGAGTTCATAACACCATGATAATGGACAATCTGCATGCAAAGATATGAAAGTGAGAGGAAAAATATTAGTTACCAGAATACTAAAAATGAGAAAATACACGAACTGTTAACCACACAAATGTCAGAGACAGAACACTCTGAAGTTACACTAAATCAAATCATCAGATCTTACTTAAAAGTTATGAACTGCACTTGGATGAAAAAAAGATATTAACTTAAATTACTGCATAGGATTCTACAGGATATAACAAAAACTTTATGCCATATAGGATCTACTGAATTTGCTTGGGTTATTCTCAAAATGTTACTTGAATTTTCAGTCATTAAAAGCATATCAAGTATTGAAGCATCATTCTATAATTGAATAAAATTAAATGGTTTGACTCTTATGGAGGCCCAAATCTGCATAAATAAATAATTGGAAAATAAATGAAGAAATAAATTACTTTCTTTTCCCCGATTCACATTATGTCGAATTACAACTTTCCAGAAATATAAACAGTTGTATTGACACACCTTTATTTATATTATTTATTTATTATATAAAATAATATCTATTTGTTTGTTTTTTTGTTAAATGTGCTAAATTATACGGAGTTGAAATACATAATTCACACATGTCATTTGTGATACATTGTTTAACTAATAGTTTACTTTGGCACTGGGTCTGTTTGGACAACTGCCTAAATTTGCACACACTGACCTGAGTTTGGCAGGTACCCATAAGAATAAGAGTGTGTGTGTTTCTCACCTGGTCTGGCTCGAGCTGGATGGCTCTGTCGTAGCAGGCAGTGGATTCACGCAGTAGTCCAATGCTCTCATGCTCCAGGATCTGCTCTCTCAATGACGGCTCCTCTTTTCTCAGATCATTCACTCCCCTCACGCCATCTGGCTCATGCATGGCCGCATACATAGTCTAGAAGAGGGCCAGAAAAAGAGACAGGTTACAACAGAACTTAAAAGAGTTCATCTGATTTCTAGACAAGTTGTGCATGCAACTGTTTTAAACTCTTTCTGAATATTTTCAAACCCCATGCATATTTGATAGGTCAAATTTTATTTTATTTCATGACTCTCTGGAATACATGATTCTGATTGATAAATTGTAGCACTGAACAAAGTATATAACAGCACTTTTCTCAGGCAACTGATTTCCTACATACACTACAGTTGAAAAGTTTGGGGTCAGTAAGATTTTTTTTAAGAAATTAATTTTATTCAGCAAGGGCGCATTACATTTTTCAAAAGAGCCAGTAAAGACATTTATAATTACAACATCTTTCTATATCAAATAAATGCTGTTCTTTTTTATTTTATTGTTCTTCTATTCATCAAAGAATCCTGAAAAAAGTGTGTTATGGTTTCCACAAAAATATTATGCATTAAGCATTTATTTTGTAAGTAGCGATAGCCAGTAATCATAAAACTCATGCAAGACTGGTAAGACCTGGAGGAATGAAAGATGGTCCTGAATGTTCTGCTTCTTTTCACGGATAAAAGACTCAAAGTGCATGACAGCACGCGTGTAGGCTCTGGAGCGGAAGGATGCCTTGGCCAGCACATCCTGAGGAATACGGTTAAGGAAGGCTACAACACTTTGATATTCACTGTTCTCTGGGCCTAAGAAGATGAAGAAAGAGTCAGAAACACTTTCATTTCAACTTGACTTACATGATACAGAGCTGAAAAATATAATTTACATGTTACTGCTGTTGCATTTACGATAAGATTTTTTTCTGTAAAATATTATGTCATAAAGTATCGAGTCAGGTCAGTAATGCGTGTTATTTATCTCATTTAAAAAGAAAGAAATAAAAAATGAATGGGAATAGGTGGAGTAAGATTTAATAAAGAATAAAAGGCATATTACCTATTATCATTCCCAATAATGTCAAGACTAGGCCTGTCACGATGGCAACTTTGTTGTGCGATATATTGCCCCAGAAATAATTGCGATAAGTGATATTGTCATTTTAAAGACCATTTTATGCCACTGAATATATAATCATAATGCAACGGCATAATAATACAAGAAGGCCTACACACTTCCAAATGACAACAAACTTTTAATTTTTAAGAATATTTAGATCATGGAAATTAAGTATCAAAATATTAGATACCTTAAAAAACCTGAATAAATAGTAAATAAACATTTTCTAACAAAAAGTGCAAAGTAACAAGCAGAAAAAAAGAAAAATGCACAAAAAACTTGTATGGAGATTTTTTCATCTATAGATGTTTCCCTGACCTTCTTTTCTCTGTAAATTAAAGATGCACACTATTGCTGAAAAACACAATCACTACTCAGCAGTCAGATGTCCGTATGCACAAAGACACAGATCCCTAAACAAGACCATATCTGCAGATGAAACTTTGTTTTTAGAAGCATTTTTTAAATTTGAACTAGCACCTCATGACTACACTACATTATGTACGAGAAGCTGCAAAAGACACAGGCACAATGTGGAATGTACAAAACATGGTGCCATTAATTTTTAAGTAAATATAATGGCCGATATATTGCGTCACCAAAAATGATTGAGGTCATGTACATATATTGCGCGATAAGTCGATATATTGATTATTGCGACAGGCCTAGTCAATACATGAAAAAATAATAACCAGCAGCTTTTATGGAAGAAAACAGGACTGAATTAAATAAAAATGTAATCTGGTAAGTCACCTGTGGCCTGTGCCTGCGGCTGCTCTCTGGCATGCTTGCCTGGCCTCTTGTTAGTACTCAGACTCTGCAGCTTGTGGCGGGACCACTGAGTGAGGTGGTCCAGCATGGAGAAGACGGTTTGCGTGCTGAGCTGACTCAGACTGGAGGCGTTCTCCTGCAGTCGCACTAACCGCGGGTCACCCTCCTTCAGAACTGCCATCATCTCTTCATTCACCTACATGACAAAAACAGAGCCTTTTCACTGGTGATACCGTTGTTTCTTTTACTAAACTTTACTGAGCAAAACTACATGGACGGTTTCCTATCAAAAATCCATAACAAGTGCTTTCCACAAATCTTGAATTTGTACCTCTCGCTGCTCCTCCTGAGTGCATCCAATCAGCACATAGACCAAAATGTGGGGCAGCAGGTAGATGGTCACTTTGTAATCATGCTTTATGATGAAACTACAGCAGTTGAACACTTTTCCAGCAAGCTCATGTCTAACCTAAAACACATGAAAAGATGAGGTAGAATTAGTCTTTTGTCTACATTTGAGGCTGGGGAAACTAAAGTGGACATGGACTTACTTTACTGATGAGATATGCTGCCCATGTTGCAGACCAGTCAGAGAATTTGCTTCCACGGCTGGTAAGATATACAGGCTTTTTCAACTTAGACCAGTTCACCACCTTCTGAGAGCTCTTATACCTAATTAAAACAAGCCAGTTTTATGAACACTGGATATAAAATAAGCAGCAGACAAAAAGCCATGCAAAATGATCATGCCCTACCTGGTATTGAGATGCGGCTCCAGGATTTCCTGAACTTGCTCTGGGAATCTTCTCCATAGACGGCGACCTGGTGAGTCAGTCCTGCCCTCCCGACATTCAAATAATGACAGCAGTTCCTGAAACAGAAGGTTACAGAGTTTAACTATCCTAAAACCTACAACATATTGGCATCAAATTATTTATCTGCTGATATGAGATTTTTTTTAATTTATCAGTCTCAGTCGCTATCTAGAATTTTAAATATGCAAGCTTATTTCCCCAAATTTTACATTTAGATTACCTTTGGCGTCATCTAATGCTCACTTAAAGGGGTCATATGATGTTGCTAAAAAGAACATTATTTGGTGTATTTGGTGTAATGAAATGTGTTTATGCGGTTTACGGTTCAAAAAACACATTATTTTCCACATACTATACATTATTGTTTCTCCTCTATGCCCCGCCTTTCTGAAATGCATAGATTTTTACAAAGCTCATCGGTCTGAAAAGCGAGGTGTACCCCCTTTACCATACTGTGATGCCGTGTCCCGGCCAGAGCAAAGAGACAAAAACATTAAAACCCATTAGAAACGAGGCATTTGTTGCATCCAGTGGGGACATAATTACTGATTATAATGACTTATACTGTTTTTTTACGCGTTGCGTTGCATCGTGCCACGTAAACATAAAACGACGTCTGCATTTGTGATCGCAGAAATGACAAACAACAAGCGCTACTCTACACTGCTCAAAACTCACTTTTGAATCGTCAGTGGCAAATCCTTTAACATGAAAATGTACTTACAGGTGCATCTCAATAAATTAGAATCTCATGGAAGTTAATTTATTTCAGTAATTCAACTCAAATTGTGAAACTCGTGTATTAAATAAATTCAGTGCACACAGACTGAAGTAGTTTAAGTCTTTGGTTCTTTTAATTGTGATGATTTTGGCTCACATTTAACAAAAACCCACCAATTCACTATCTCAACAAATTAGAATAACTTCATAAGACCAATAAAAAAACATTTTTAGTGAATTGTTGGCCTTCTGGAAAGTATGTTCATTTACTCTACATGTACTCAATACTTGGTAGGGGCTCCTTTTGCTTTAATTACTGCCTCAATTCGGTGTGGCATGGAGGTGATCAGTTTGTGGCACTACAACTTAACCACTGATTTCTAGTCATGTCCTCTTTTGGAAGGCCAAAAGTATTTTCGCTTTCGCAACGAAACACACAGCATCTTTACAACATGGCGGCTGCGGTGGCAGCAACAATAAAGTTACGCCTTCTTTCTTTGTGTGAACATTTGGGCGGTGTTACGCAAATCTTCCCACATCGTGACGTAGACATGTGGGGGGGTGTTTAAACGAGGCATTTTAGGAGGGCGTGGACCAGTCTTAACTTTTATGAGGAATATCTCTTTGGGTTTGAGACTTTAGTCTTTGCAACTTCAGGGATCTTATCAGGGATCTCTATTCACGAACAGCTTGTAACACTCCAAAGAGAAAGGAAAACTTGAAATCGCATCATATGACCCCTTTAATTTTTTAAAACACTATTGATTTAATAACAGTGCTTGCATGCAGTACTCAAAATGGTTATTTTTCATACTGTGCATTACAATGTTGTGATGTCTAAACTCACTTGTAGCATTTTAAAATAATGATTTTAGTTTTTTTGTGTTTGATTTTTAATTAGGACAAAATTGTATAAAATTTAAATATCAGCCATTTATCAGGCCAATATTTTTATATCAATTTAGGCCTGTCCGATAAAACGGTATCGATATTTATCGACGGTACACTCTCTTCAATAACGATATAAAAAATGTTCGATATAGCGCAAGATATAGGCACGTGCTATGAGTGACGCAGACCGCACACACAAACACAAACACATGCTGAATTGAGTGATGTGCCTGCCTGTGATGAGGAGTTGTGAAAAAAAAAATATTTAAAATCAATAGTTGCATTTGAATGCAAAAATAGTACAATCAAATGTTAGGTGTGCGTCAGGGAGCCTCATTAGTGGAGCGCGAGATGCAGTGATGATGTTGTAAGTGAAGTTGTTGCATTTTAATGCTTGATAAGTCTAGCCCACAAGACGCGCAGTTGCTACGTTATTCATTCAAAATATTAGAGAAATATAGTAGCTCAATGCATAGAAGATCTTGATTAGGTTAAAACCGAAACCAACCCATTCACACAGAACGCATATTCAGCGCATTTTTTAGACGGACAAATATGCCTGCTGCTCTCATGTCTCACACAAGAGATGTATAGAAAGCCATGCAAAGTTAAAACAGTTTAAACTTTTAGAAAACGCGTTACGAATTTGTGGAGGTTTATTCCGTTTCACTGCATCTCATATGTTTTTAAAGGCAATCTGTGTGATTCGGCTCTTTGTATTAAGCAATGCATAAATACATGATGCTGTTTTGTTCATAATTGTTTATGCAATTTACGAAAACGTTTGATTTATATGAGTTCATTTAGACGTAATGCACGTTTTTCTTTTTACAGACAGTTATTTCCTTTGCGTTGGCAATTTAAATGCGTTGCATTATTTTGCTCATTGTGCTCCCCTGTGGCTTCGGGAGACAAGCCAAAAGTTTCCTTCAGACCTATTTAATCTGCATATAAAACATTAGAAATTAGATATTTGTTAAATTTTTATTTTGTGTTTGACTGTTAAAACTAAAAATGGAGTGTGGTCATCATCTTCACTCGGACTGAGCTGATGTGCTTTGGACCCATTAGCTTCATAAGGGCCATTAAACTGTTCAGAGCCTGAGTGGAGAAAAAGGTAACAAATATATTGACATAATGTGGCTAGAACAATCTTGCTGCCTCTAGTACCAGGTTTTCTCAATAGCTCCTGCAGCTCTGGATTCTTTGTACTATCAACCATGCACTGATAAACATTATGTACTTAAAATCCTGAGTTTATGGAGATCTTTACTTGTCTTGTGACATGAAAAAGTGATTAAAGTAAACATAAAAAACAAAAATAATGCTGAAGGATTCATTTTAGAAATTAAGTGAATATTATTTTTCTCTGAAAACAAAAAATTAGAATTTTTAAAGGGGTCCTATTATGCTCTTTTACAAAGTCTTGATTTTGTTTTGGGGGTGTAGTAGAACAGGCTCTCATAATAGGTTGTTCGAAAAACACATTATTTTTCACATATTTTACATTATTAAAACACCTCTCTCCCCAGTCTGGCATGAACGGCTCGAATAGTTCCTGTATCAAATGAAGGCCTGCCTTCTGAAATACGAAATGTGCTGTGATTGGTTAGCTGGGCCAGTGTGAGTTGTGATTGGCACCACTCAGCGCCTGGTCGGGAAATGTCATGCCCCTTACCATACCCCTGTGAGCTTCAGTGTAAATATTGCGTCAATATCAAATCAATTTGAGTGCGATTTAAACCCGGATGATTGTAACCACTCTAAGTTCGTCTGCCTTGGGAAAGCTAGTGTATCTCTGACATAGTGATAACACTCGTTGCCTTCTCTAGTGCAGCTCAACCAGGTCTCGTCCCATTCGTCGATATTTGTGATATCACAAATCCCGGAAAATATGCAAGGTTACAGAGTAATCATTCGTTGTAGTTTTTGAAAAGTGATTTCTGTTAAATAAAATGGCTCCTTTTGAGGTGGACTTTGAACTTTGTAACTTTGCAGATCTTTTTTATGCTCAAACAGCAATATTACAGACTAACTAAAGTTGAACAATTGAAAAAGCATAATAGGACCCCTTTAAAGGAGACATATTATGCCCATTTTTACAATATGTAATATAAGTCTCTGGTGTCCCCAGAATGTGTCTGTGAAGTATTAAAACACACATGAGTTACAAAAACAGACGGTTATGTCTGTGAAGGTAAACTGCTGTGAAATAAATCGAATGTTTATTTTAGATCTGTGTGGCAGCAGCAATATACAGTAAATAAATCCACTGCTCTGTTGTCTCCTCTGAGGCTGGGACTCTAAATAGTGTTCTGTGCTCGTCTGTGCAGCCAAAGGCAGAACAGTTAGCATGTTTTGCACAAACTTTCACCATGGCATTAGAGCCGGTACACCGTTTGGTACACAGTTTCGCTTGCGAAAACACAATAACGGCACCGTGGGTGGAAACTTACAGGTAGTTTAAGTCTTTGGTTCTTTTAATTGTTTTGATTTTGGCTCACATTTCACCAAAACCCACCAATTCACTATCTCAGCTAATTAGAATACTTTATAAGACCAATAAAAAAAACATTTTTAGTGAATTGTTGGCCTTCTGGAAAGTATGTTCATTTACTGTACATGTACTCAATACTTGGATTTTTCCATGTCAGTTCCTAGTGACCATGTCTGTCTATCTCCAATAATGACAAAAACACTAAAAAAGCAGTCAATAAAACTTGTGCTCTATAGAAGTCCTCTGTAGTGACTGAAAATCACTATTCGCTTTCATTTCTATTGAATTTCCAAATTATTCATGATAATCCTCTATAGTAAACTCTAAACTTGAGATCCACAACAAGTGGATCACAAAGTCAGGAAAGCTAAACTGGATAACATTATGAGCAAATTAATTGTTCTTTTTAGCCAGTTCTTTTAAATAAAGCGGTTGCTCTGGTTCACAAGTGGGACAAAACAATAAATTTTTAACAGATTTGTTGATAAATCTCAAACTTTTTTGGTTTTTGATATCTGACTGTTTTTTTTTTCTGTAATTTTTGAAGCATAACAGCCATAAACAGTCAATTCAAAAGATCTATTTTTTGTTTCACAGAAGAAAGAAAGACGTCACATGGGTTTGGAACAATATGACAGAAAGTAAATAATGAAAGAATTTTCATTTCTGGCTGAACTATCCCTTTTTGTTCTAACTAGCCATGACAAGCAATGAGGAACAGAACATGCTGCCGCACCCTCAAAGAAATCTCATTGGTTCAAAATCCAGCTCCAAATAATAGTAACAATAAATATATTCTGACAGGTTGATTTGTCATTTTCTGCAGCATTTCGCTTTCAGTGAGGACAGAAAAAAACCTATAACAGTATGTTGTGTGCCTAGAACGTGGTGTATGATCAGTTTATAATGCGGTAAAATAGATCATAGCTACTGAAAGCTAATGTTTTGCATTAAAACCAGACAAATTGTTTTGAACACCTACCATTTTCTTTTTCTCCTTCTCTCCAGCACTAGAGCTCAGCAGCTGCATGTTGAAAAAAGCCAGAATGCCCAGGAGCTTGGGCTGCAGATAATCTGCCTGCACAAACATACAGTACAGTGACAGATGGCATTATGTCCAGAACAACGGCTATAATAGAAAACTAAAAACAGACCCCAATGCATTCAACTCTGTAGAACAAATGTACTTGAATCAGTCTGTGAAAGTTGGGCCTTAATCTGATGATTATTATTAGAGCAACTGTACCATGCGTCCTGGGGTGGTGATTTCTCTTGGGCCCTGGTAGGGGTCGTCACTGGAGGCAAAAGAAGCTAGAATAGCAAGTCCATTAAAGACCTGCTGGTAATGTTCTCCTAGACGCAAGAGCAGCTCATTATGAAGACCCTGGAAGTCCTGTCTCAGCAGACTGCCCAATTCAATTTCTGTTTCATTCTGTGAAACAAAATATTTATTAAATAAAGAATAAATATTACCTATACATATATTTCTAATAAATAAATGAAAACAAGCAAACAAGTAAATACGTTTTAAAAAGTATATATATATATATATATATATATATAGATATATATATATATATATATATATATATATATATATATATAGATATATAGATAGATAGATAGATAGATAGATAGATAGATAGATAGAT